TCCTACCACCTCTTTACAGAAGCAAGCCCTCTCACGGGCTGTGTGCCCCGCCGGTGGCCTTGAGGGGGCTAGCCTGTCCTGAGTCCTGGGCTGTGGTCAAGCTACGGTAGCTTCTAGTCTCAGAAAGTCAGTACCTTGGACTGGCACTGGCGGGAGCTGTGCACTAATGAGGTCCATGGTTGTCGCTGTTCCATTCATTAAAACATTGGTGTCCTGGGATCCCACGTCCAGCAGCCCCATTGACACTGGCCCTTGGGGCTCCAGCGGACGCCATGGCACCTGCTGTTAGGAGTCCCAGAATAGCTGCTGCAGCTTCTACTGCAGACACGGGCCAACGGCTCGGCTCCCGGTGCCCCCGCGCCGCTCGGCTCACAGCTGAGCTTCAGTCAAATGCAGCTGCAGAGGGAACAAAAAGGCTTTTTTCCTCTGAAAGCCGCCAGTTCAAGTTGAAAGGCTTCGCAGCTGAAGCCGGAGTCGTGGGCAGCAGTTGTATAGCCTGGGCTGCAGTTGGAACTGTCACGTCTGTCATCTCCAGCCGGGGGATCAGCCCCAGAGTCCTCCCCCTCTTCAGTCGGTGAAGTGGAAGTTTGGAAGCAACTGATCTCCCTGGTGTGCGCTCCGTGTTATTTTTAGGGGCTGAGGATACTGGCGCACGCCTCTGTGTTACAAGCATCCTGCTAATCCCCCGAGCACCTCGGTAAACATCCCTAGCAGCCTTGGTCCCCAGCAGGTCAGGAGCTTCGAAGAATCCACACCCCGCCTGCCAGCTGGCGTTCGGTGTCTGGTCAGGTGTGAGGTGTGGCGAGGCCGACAGCTGGGGAGGGAACCCCTCGCCTGAGCAGCTCTGAACGATCGGAGCCCATGGTGGTGGGGGCGGGGCCTGGGCCCTCACCCCCGGGAGAGCGTTGGGGTTCCAGGCTTTTTTCCCCTAATTTTGTTGTTAGTGTTGTGGAGAGTACACACAGCAAAACCATGCAGTGTTCAGGCTTCTCCACGTGCCCCTCGGTGGCACTGACAGCGTTCTTGGAGTTGTAGCTGTCTGCACCGCCTTTTCTGGGTGGTTCCCCATCAGTGTAAACTCGCTGTCCCCAGGCCCTGTCAGCCCTTGAGTTGCTGTCGTCAGTTCGATCCCATGGAAGGGGCTCTTCAGGGGGCTCAGGGCTCAAGACAGACCTTTGTGACCTGTGAAATTAAGCTCTTGTTTGGTTTTAAGAAGTCAGTGAGCATTTTTGGGTTATGGTGTAAAGATGATCTGAGGACAGCGTTTTCAGGGGTTCATCCACCTCGATGGCTCCAGGCAGTCCAGAGTCCATGGGAACTGCAAGTTCTGTTCTGGTTTTCCCCCCTTTTGATCAGGATTCTTCTGTGGACTCGGTGATCAAAATGGTCAGGAATGGTGGTGGGGCACATCCAGTCGTCTGCTCTCATGGAGGTGGTAGCTCATGGAGGCGATTAGCCCTTGCCTTCTCCTCAGAGCTTCCTGTTTCCTCCGTTGTTGCAGGCGAGCAGAGACCGGTTGTGTCTGGACAGCCACTTGAGGCGCTCCTCCCGGCCACAGGCCCGCCCTCCCGGCCCAGGCATCTGCTGTCTGCCCCGCTTCTCTGCCCCAGCTGCCCTGCTGCTCCTGGCCGGCTCCGCCACTGTTGCTCACAGAGCCAGCACACTGTGCGGAGGAGCCCTGGGGCGCAGTGCTTAAGCGCTTGGCTGCCAGTCAGATGGTCGGCGGTTTGCAGCTGCCCAGTGGCTCTGCAGGAGAAACAGCCCGTGATTTGGTGTCATGATGACGCCTAGGCCGCGCTGGGGGCAGTTCTGCTCTGTGAGTCCGTGTCAGCCCCAGGGCACCTGGCAACAGCGTGTGCTGTGTGCCCGCTCCTTGTCTTGTCCTGGTGCTCGTCCATGTGCCATGTCTCTCCCAGTCAGGAGGGATTCATGACGCCCCTGAAGCTGGGGGCCCTTTGACTCCCCATCATCAGTCCTGGAGACAACACTGGGCTCAACTGGGGTGACTTGACTTGTTCCTGTCATTGTGCGTGGGGACGTTTTACGTGCTTTCTTGTACCAGTGTCCGGGGACGCCCATGGAGGAGCAGGGATCGAGTATGCACGTTGTGGGGTGGGGTCAAACCACACTGCTCCCTGTGACACCCACAGCCCTTCGTTGGGCACGCACTCCTGAGGCCTCTGTGCTCGGGGTCTGGTGTCCTCTGGTCGTGTCCCCTTGCTGCTCGAGCTCAGGCCCACGTCTGCTGCCCTGTTGCCCATGTTGGTTCTTGCTCCCGGACTCTACTGCTGACCCGGGGCTGGTCACCCCTCACGGACTGCTCTGAAGGTGCCGTCTTTTTCTGCTCCCTTGGAGTCAGTGGGTCCTGGGAATATGTTGTGGCCGGGCCGGCCGGGTGTCTGCTCAGGGACTGCAGGACCCTCTTCCCCTCAGGGACGTGCCTGCCCTTTTCTGCTCTGTGGGGGACTGACTGTCCGGCCTGTGCTCTGGCTTCTCGCTGTCGCCATTACACTGCTGCGTTTTGAGGGGAAGTTGAAGCCTTGTCTTGATTTAGCCAAAGTCGTAGCTGCAGGTTTTTTGCCCACGAGGCTGTTAGAGGAAAAAGCTACCCACTTGCCTCTGCCCCCTGTAGGGAGTCCCTGGGTGGCACAAACCTTC